TTTTTTTAAAAAAGACTACAGCCTTCTATATGGATTACATCAAGACATCAGTTTAAATACAGGTGCACATGATCCAAATCAAGGTATTTCTCAATTGCTTCATATTCATCTGAAATTTAACAATGAATAAGGAAGACCAATGAAGAACTGATGCCTCTGAATTATAGAGCTAGAGAAGAGTACGAAATAGCCTATGGACTGATCAAAGAACAAGCACATCTGTCTTGGAAGAAATGCAACCAGGGTGCTCTGCAGAGGCAAGGATGGTGAAACTTCATCTCACAAACTTTGGGCATATTGTCAGGAGATACTGGTCCTTGGAAAAAGACATGATGCTGGGAAAGGTGGAGGGTCAGAGAGAGAAAGGTCCTCAAGGAGATGGACTGACAGTGACTGCAGCAATGGGCTTGACTGTGGAGGAGACTGTGAGGCTGGCCCAGGAGATAGCAGTTTCAATCTGTTGTTCACAGGGTTGCTGTGAGTTGTAGTTAACTGGACAGTACTGTAACAGTGACCTTCTAGTGTGTCTTATGGAACCCTGTCATTGCCATGTGGACAGCACAAACTAGTCTACTAGAGGATGACAAGCAACAGGGAGGAGATCTGGGTTGTTCCAGCGGACAGCCAGTCAGTTCCCAGAAGCACAGCCATCCAGTCAACCCCAGTGGACACATGAAGGAGCCTGGCCGTAACCAAAGAGGGCTTGAATTCAGTCCCAGGTACCCTTTAAAGAATTACAGCTAAATACATGGTTGTTATTTATAACCACTGCATTTTGGGGCAGGTGTAACACAGGGTAGGCTAACTGATAAAACAGGTTATGTTTCATAGTATTATGAACACTGTGCTTGCTCAGCTTACAATCTCACAGAAAGGATTGTGTAAAATGTCAAGTGAGAACGACAATAAAACAAAGTGAAGTATGGCTTGGTATCTCCACTGTATACCTAGGTATGTGGCACAGACTCTTCCAAAGAAGGACACCCACCTTGCAAGAGAGGATGTTCCCAAAGGCAGAGAAGGTATCATACAAGGCCTTGTTGTCAATGGAGTCCTCCAGGTTCTTGATGAAGATGTTGCCCACTCCTGACCTGCGAAGTCCTGGGTCTCGCTGGGACCACATGATACGGATGGGCTGGCCTTTGATCACATCAAAATTCATCGTGTCCAGGGCTCGCTCCGCTGGACAGAAGAGGAAAAAGGCATGTTAATTTTCTTTCCTTGAGCTACCAAGGTGGCTTCTATGCTAAAACGAGGAGCCAAGAAAGAGTCAGTGTTTTGAGTTCTATGAAAGAGCCGGGAGGCTCAGGAGGCATCAACAGGTAAGAATTCACGTACACAGGGCAAGCTTCTCCCCTTCCAGTGATGATTTCCTTCAAGTCCTCATGATAGTCACATGAGCCTGGATTCTGGATCTCATTTTACAGATGGGATGAGGAATGCCTGAAGGGTTTAGTGACAATAAGAGGTCTGCTGGACTAGGACATGTTCCAGGAACACCCGAGACACTTGAAAACGAGGGACCTTCAGGGGGTCTGGGTTGAAAACAACCTAGATCCAGTTCTATTCCTTGTCAGCGATCTTCTGAGTCCCTGACCCCTTAAAGGGTTAAGTGCACCAGAATTCTTGCTAACAAAATCTCCTGGAATGCAGGGGGTTACAAATAAGCTCAGCATTTCCACTGGAATCAGAGTTACATATCCATTTGCCTTCTTGAGATAAAGAACACAGAGCCTTGATTAATCAGGGATAAGTTGATTTGTTAGGACGTTTCCTGCTTTTCTTAACCCTGAGAAGAGTATGTGGCTTTAAGTATGCTATGCCTGCTTCTGGAACAAAAAAGATGTTATGTGCCGTGGAGTCGCTTGCGACTCATAGCGACCCTATGTACAACAGCCCTAAACCCTGCTCTACCCTGTGCCAATTGCACAGTCTCTGACACACCCATCCCGATTACCCCAGTCACTGAATCAATCCATCTCACAGAGGGCCTTCCCCTCCTGTGCCATCCCTCCACCCTCCCAAGCATGATGTCCTTCTCCAAGGACCGGTCGGTCTCTCCTCACAGGGAAGCTCTATTTCGCCATTTGCCTATAAAGTGCTTGGTCCTTCACCTTTTATCATCTCTGGTGAGCCTCTACGACCCCGTGACCACACACCACCTGTGAACTACAGTGGAGAAAACAAGGTACCTTCATTAGGTCAGTGGCAAAGTTAGAGCCATTCTGCTCTTTAACAAGCAGACAGGTGGGGCTGACATGGCAAGTGGCAGCGGTTGGAGGTAAGTGACGCTCAGAGGTGCTGAACAGCAGTGCTGAGATTCAGGTCCCAGCAGTGGCACTGGGGGCATTAACATGACCTGAGTCTCTCCGCCCCTACTCGAGAAGTGGAGATGATGATAGTACCTACTTTTCCCTCTTTGCCACAGGTATCCCACCTCCGTGAGACAGACCGAAAATGAAACCAAGTGTGCAAAGTGCCTCACTCCTTGTGCCTGGTCAAGGATAGGTATTTGGTGAATGATGCCAGTTCTCGCCAAGTACATACGGATTCATGGGGCTGCAGGCCTTTTGTTCATAGGGTAGCTATGAGTCGTGCGCGACTCAAAGGCAATCAACAACACCTATTCAAATGCATCAGAGTAGAACTGTGCTCCACATGGATTTCAACAGCAATTCTTCCTTTTTTTGTTGTGTACCATCGAGTCAGATTCAACAGGCACAGAAGATTGTCCCTCCTCTCATGGAGCATCTGGTGGATTTGAACCACACACCTTTGGGATTGCAGCCCAGCTTCTTACCACTAGGCCACCAGAGCTCCCTCACTGATGAAAACCTGGCTGATTTTTCACATGTAGATCCCTAAGCATTTCTTTTGAGGGACCTCTAAGTTGCCCCAAACCTCCAACCTCTGGATTAACAGCTGAGCTTGTTAACCATTTGCACCATGTAGGGACTTCTTGGTAAACTTGCTGTGCGCCTGAGTGTATTCTGACTCATGTTGTTATGTGCTGTTGAGTCACCTGAGACTCATAGCGACCCTATGTACAACAGCCCTAAATCCTGCTCTATCCTGTGCCAACTTCAGTATCTGACACACCTACCCCCATTACCCCAGTCACTGAATCAATCCATCTCATTGAGGGTCTTCCTCTCTTGTGCTGTCTCTCCACCTTCCCAAGTATGATGTCCCTCTCCAAGGACTGGTCCCACCTTGCAACATGTCCAACGTATGGCAGACGGGGCTTCAGAATCCTTGCCTCCAAGAAGCAGTCATAATGACCCGATAATGGCCTCACAGACTCTCCCAGACTATCATCTATATGGGAGTAGATCGCCAGGTATTTTCTTATGGAGCAGCTGGGTGAATCTGAACTGCCAAACTTTCAGCTAACAGTCAAGGGTTTAATCACTGTGCCCACCAGGTATACCGTGTGACTAACCACTGTCACCACGAAACCTATGGCCTAAGCCCATTCTCCTGCCAGTACTACAGTCCTTTTCTCACTGTCCTTTAAAAAGTACAAGCAATATGCTGTCCCCTGCTTCCGGGACTCCCTTCCTTTTAGAAGAAGGGATGGGGCTGCGCCCAAGTCAGTGGAAGAAGCTTCAGGCTTCCACAAGGCTGAGGAAGAGGAAATAAAGAGGAAAAGTTCAATCAGTGGTCTGTCATCTGCTGGGAACAGGCTCCACATGACAACCCTTCCCCCTCAGCTAGGGGATCCCCTATCCCTCAATAAACCCAGAAAATGTAAAGCGTACCCTCTTTTGAATTACCTGGGGCAAGCCCATTTCGGTGATATTTATGAAACCTTAATACAGACTGTATTCGCACAGCTATTAACTTTTTAAGTTCTCATTCAATGTTGCTCGCTATCAAGTCAGAATGACCTATGGCAGACCCTGCAGGGGGGTTTCAGAGGCAGTTAATTCAAAGGGAGGAGGCTGCCCATCTTTCTCCCATGAGCATCTGGTGGATCTGAACCTTGTGTCTTTGGGATTGCAGCGCAGCTTCATACCATCAGAGCTGCATATTACTTAATGAGCGTACACCAGGTCTCCATTCTTCCACGTCATTAGGGAACAAGTCATAGCTCCATTTTACAGGTGAAGAAACTGAGGTGCCACGGGTTAAACTGTACTCCGTATTACACCCTAAAGTAACAGCGCAAGCACAAAGGGATGCTCTTAATCTTTAATCCTCGCCACTCAAGAGGCTTTGTGTGGCGTGGAGTCGGAATTGAGGCAGTAAATCACAGGGGAGGAGACGGCCCATCTCTCCCTCTTCAGCGGGGCGGCTGGTGGATTCGAACCGCGTATCCAGACTGAGGACCGGGATTTGGAGCCAGTCATAGAGGCTTTATGAGGATCTGGAGGCGGAGGCGTCACGTGCAGACCCCAGGTCATGCTGCCCCCAAAGCCCTTCCAGCTTCCCCACTCGGCTGGCTGCGTCCTGGGAATCGTCACCAGGTGCTCTGCATCTCCCCCTCTCACAACTGAGGCCCCGAGAGAGCAAACAAGGTGTCCAAACCCTCCCAGCTGCCGGGCTCCTTCCAGGCCCGAAGCTGCGCCCTGGGCGCGTCCCCCGCTGAAAAACGCCAATCAGCACGCATCGCTACTTCTCGACCCAGGAGGGCCCCCTGCAAAACGAAGATGCTGGAGAAGCTGAGTGGGTAGGGTGTGTGTGTGTAAGAGGCCGAGGCAGGTGGGGAGCCTGGGGCAAATCTGTCCGTAGGTCAGCAGGTCCCCCTTGCTCCCGCACCCCCCACCGCCTCGCCGTCCACGGGTCCCCCCTCCCTTGGGTCGCCGTCGGTGGGTCCTGCTCCCCGGAGTCACAGTCATGGTGTCCACGGTCCCCCATCCTGGGGCTTACGGTCCAGTGTCCACGACCCACCCCGGTTTACCGTCGGTGGGTACCCCCTACCTGGGCTCACGGTCCGGATGCCCGCGGGTCGCCCCCTCCCCGGGCTCGCGGTCCGGGTAGGTGTCCGCGGGCCCCCCTCCCCGGGCTTACCGTCGAAGGATCCCCCTAACCTGGACTCATGGTCCGGGTGTCCGCAGGTTCCCCCCCCCCCAGGCTTGCCGACCGGGTGTCCGCGCGTCCCCTCCTCTCCAGGCTTGCCGTCCGGGTGTCCGCGGGCCCCCAACCCCAGCTCACCGTCGGCGGGCTGCTGGAAGTTGATGTAGGCGTAGCCCAGCGAGCGCCGGGTGGCCACGTCGCGGCACACGCGGATGGAGAGGATGGGCCCGGCCGGCAGGAACTTCTCGTAGAGCATGGATTCCGTGACGTCCGCGTGCAGGTCGCCCACGTAGAGCGAGGCCATCGGGTAGCCCCGGCCGCTGGGGTGCATGGTGGGCGTCTTAGACGGCCAGCGAGCGAATTCCGCGCTCCGGGTGCCCGACAGCGCGCTCGGCTCGGGCCGGCAACCTGGAAAGGCGGAGAGCGGGGTATCTTCTTCCGAGGACCGCCCACCTCTTCTTTAAGCCCCCCCCGACCCTTCGGGCCAATCAGGGAGCACCCGCCCCGGAACCCCGCCCCCGGACCGCACCTGGGACCCCTCTGCGTTCCCGAGAGCGCAGGTGGATGGTGTCTGGGGCCCTGTGAGGAAAAGCTGGCCAGGTAAGGGTCTGAAACCTTCGCAGAAGGGAGAGACCTAGGGCGGCAGGAGGTTGGGGTTCTCATCCTTCAATGTCTCCAGGGGCTCTGGTTTCATGGCTGTAAAGCGCCGGGGTGGGGATTAGAGACCGCGGATTTTGTGCATGCTTCAGGCACAAAGGGGATATAGAATCTCAAGATGGATACCTTTTGCCTGAGAGTTTTACCCTGTTCCCAAAAGGTATCTTTTAATCATGAAATCCTGGGCTGTAAGGCACCTCCCTGTGAAGCGCGCCCAGGACCACCCTGGTCTTTCCCTGCATGGCTTCTTAAATTGCCAGAACTTCCCAGAAGATTCCCTACTCATGCATCCCACCTGGGGACCTCAAAGGCTGACCAGTTACTGCTGAACCAACTTTATGGTTATGTGTAAGAATCACCTGGGATGTCAGTTCTGATTCAGTGTCTCTGGAGTGGACATGCAGAGATTCTCAGCACAGGGAAACCAGGTCGACTAGTAGTGAATAGGAGCCCAAGGCCGGGCTAACCCAACCTAAACATTTTACAGCCTCAAATTCTTTGTGGTGGTGAAGTTACATCTCACAGCTGATCTTCTAGCAGCTTTCCAAGGGCAGCAAAGGCACAGGAGATCGTCCATTTTTCTCCTAAGAAGCAGCTGGTGGGATTTGAACAGCACACCTGTGGGATGGCAGCACGGATCCTGAACACTAGGCTGGCCCATTTAAAAATATTCCGTGGACCAGTTCTTCCTTCTACTTGTTTTTTCATGCAACTATTCCAGTCGCAGCATAAACAGGTAAGTTGCACTGATCTTTGGTTGGATGTGACCTCACCATTCAAAACTGCCCGAACAAGGAAGAAAAAGCTGGCCTAGCTGTCTCGCCTCACAGTATGGAAGCGCACCACCAGTCAGTTCTAACCAAAAGCTAAAAACAAACAAAAAAAACCTTACGGACAAAAGACCCCTAAGCTAATCATAAACAGCAGTAGGTGAGACGACAAAAGACTGGCACAAGCATCTCTCAATGCTTGGTTATACATCTCAGGGTGGGAAGAAAGGCGAGGGCCCTAACCTTGAATATTACACAAAATAACTGCCTGCACTGTCTTCGAAGTTGTAAAAGACTTAGTGTCAAGATGGTTTGCAGGGGGGAAAGAGAACAGCAACAGGTGGAAAGCAATTCTGTGTTAAGGGATGGTAATTTTGCCCTCTTTATAACACCTTGACTTGGATCTAAAGGGTGAAATAAAGCTGTTGGCTACTTTTAAAGACAAAACACTGAGAAATAATGTGAGCAGAACTAGATAGCTGGTTCTGGAAGCGAGAGACGGAGTGACACACCAATTCACAGGCAACTAACTGATAAAATTTATTTCACTTTTGAAATTTTACACTTTTCCTGATTAATCTGTGTAAGGTGAAACTATGAACTGTTTAAAAG